GGAAAGAGTTATGGGAGAAATGGAAAGAGACAGTTACAAGATTCTTCAAGATTTTCCTCCTGTACAGTTCCTCTTCGTCTTGTATGAGCTGCAGTATGCCCAAGGAGGTATCTCAGCACAACTTGGTGTGCTGCTGAAGTAAGGAAGGCTTGGAGCTACCGTTTGCCTAGGGCAAGTAGCTAAACCACAAAACTGAGCTAATTTGAGCTGTAGCCGATCACAAAGGGAATAAAACTTCAAGAGGAATCCCGCTGTCCAAGAAGCAGTTGATCTAGTACAGGGGTCCCCAGCCTTTTTGGGCCCATGGGCCATGGCTGTCTTTGCAATTCTGGTACAGGTTAATGGATGCAACCACAAAATGGCTGCTGCGGGAGGTGGAGCCAACCACAAAATGTCCAGGAGTGAGATCATGCATGACTCTAATAGTAACTCTTCAGTGTTGCAGGCAGAAGCTCTGTTTAGCAGGATGTCTTTTAAAATGAACATACACACCTTGTGCTGTAGTGGCAGCTGCTGCCAAAGCAGTGTTTTTAAAAATCTCCAGTGGCCAAACAGAAGCCCCGCCTGCCAAAAGCCCCATTTGACCCGCCCAATTTTTAGAACACTTGGTGGGCTTCGAGAAAGGTGTTGGTGTGTTCCATGTTTGGGACCCCTGGTCTAGCAGTGTTGAAAAGCTGCCTGGAGGCTTGAACAGCATTTTTAAGGAGCTGTGATCCATTTTGGGGCATTGGCCATTTCTGGAGGTCGCTTCTTCTTCACTCGTTTGATGCAGGTATTCCTGAGAAGCTCCTAAATTATTTCTGGCCAGTTTGTTGATTTTGCACTCTGGCCAAGAGCTTGGTCTGCAATTCAAAGTCACAAATCCCTTTGCTAAAAAGGAATAGCTAATTGGGTGGTGTTGGGTAACACTGTTACTGCAAAATATATATTTTTTAAAAAACCACCCACAACAGATGTTCTTAAAATGCACTATTGCTTTCCAGTAAAACCTGAATATGTTCAGGGGAGGGGGCACCACAAGACATGCTCACAACTGCCTCAGATTGTTTTTGATTCACTTGAAATCGTTGAGCTGCAGCGATCAGGAAACAGCGTAGGATGCACCCAGGTTGCCTCTTTTTGTCCCTAATTTCGAGTTGCCTGCGAGGGTCCAGGCACAGAGGCTGTCCAGCATCTCTTCATATTCCCCACCAGCCCTCTCCCTTCCGTGAACTACTCTGACGTACGTGGATGTCTTGTGAAGCTGCTGTTTCTCTGTTTGTGCCAAGGTCCAGAGAAGATGAGAAAATGCAGAGTCACATTGTGTGATTTCTTAGCTCTCTAGCAAATGAAATCCAACCTCTCCCTCAAACTACCTGACACAAAGGAAGCTGGGGGACGAGAAGCTGGGCTTTTCCAGACCTTAACCTTGGCACATATGAGGATTCAGGAGCAGGATGTGCCCCCCCCAAGCTGAGTTAGTGTGAGCTAGCCCACAGTTTTTTAGCCTCCGGCTCACCCATTTTTGTCTCGGCTCAGGAAGGATGGCTCCAGAGCAAACTAATTGATGCAGCAGCCAAATCTCTCGCTCACAACTTTAATGCCAGTAGCTCACAAAGTAGAATATTTGCTCACAAGACTCCACAGCTTAGAGGGAGCATTGGTTACCAAGTACCCCCCTCCCAGAAGGCTAGGGGTGCAGGCTGCTAGCAAATGGCTTTTTGGATACCCAGTTGCTTGTGAGTACATATTGATACTTGACTAAATCCGGGGAACCCTTCTATGCTCTCTAATGCCCAGGGGGGAAAGGAATAAGGGATGCGCCAACCGAGCCACTGCCCTTCTTGTCCTGCCAACAGAAGACACCTGAAATGGGGACAGGCCTGCTTTGGCCCCTGAGACATTAAAATTATTCCATAATCTCCAGGGACAAACAGCGTTCTGGGAAACACCACCGTGAAGCAACCAACTGCACCAGCTCACGCAGGTGTATCTGGGAATGGTGAATTTGAAGCATAGAGGATAATGTGTGTGTGTGGGGGGGTCCTTAAATCTGTTATGAAATGGAGATGTATGCATTGGCTTTTAGATGTGGGATAGATGGGCCATAGCAGATCCATATCCCATGGTAAGGATAAAAGTGTCCTGGGAGGGTGTTGGATGGTTAAAATAATGTTTTTGAGACAGAAATTGTTTTGGAGACCTCATGGTGGAAAGGCAGGGTGCAAATGAAAAAAAATAAATGAGTAGCTTTCCTCAATACTGGTACTTGAAGTGGCTTTTCAGAAACTAAAATAAACTTGTGTCCTTGACGAACTCGCGGCATCACAGGAATTCAAGTGTTCAGAAGAGACAACTCAGTTTTGTCAGTTCTGGTGATTTCCACGTGATTGAAAAATACATGGAAACACACTCTGCATTAATGGGAGACTAGAGTTTAAAATCCCAGAGTGTTTGCCAAAGCTCCTCAAACAACCATCTTGTAAGAATGGATTGTTCACATTATGAACCTTTTGGGTTGCATTGTGTTGACTTTGAGATACAGAACCGTGAACCAGATTTCTTGCAGCATTCTTAAAGGGGCTTAAACATTCCTTGAAAGCAGAGAAGTTGATTTTCCTTCTCTCAGATACCGACTCATTGTTTGCGTTGGCGGCTATGAAAAGATGAATGAAAGTTGTATTTGAAGGGTGAAAAGTTTTAAAATAACTACTTCTAGACTTGGTTATTTTGATAATGTTATTTATGATCGATGTTTTATCACCTTGTGATCGATTGTAATGGCCTTTGGCCATTATATGATAAATCTGGACAAACACGGCCCAATCAGTAAACAAGTATAAAGTCATTAAGACTTATAAAGAATAGCATAGATAGCATTCTTTATACGTCTTAATGGCTGCGGTCACACGTAACAGAAGCCACACAAGTGAGACGGAAAACAGCCGGAGTTTCCGGGCACGATCTCACCAGCACATCTGGGAAGCGTAGCACTCCCGTGGCTCAATGCCAAAGCTCCTCAAACAACCATCTTGTAAGAATGGATTGTTCACATTATGAACCTTTTGGGTTGCATTGTGTTGACTTTGAGATACAGAACCGTGAACCAGATTTCTTGCAGCATTCTTAAAGGGGCTTAAACGTTCCTTGAAAGCAGAGAAGTTGATTTTCCTTCTCTCAGATACCGACTCATTGTTTGCGTTGGCGGCTATGAAAAGATGAATGAAAGTTGTATTTGAAGGGTGAAAAGTTTTAAAATAACTACTTCTAGACTTGGTTATTTTGATAATGTTATTTATGATCGATGTTTTATCACCTTGTGATCGATTGTAATGGCCTTTGGCCATTATATGATAAATCTGGACAAACACGGCCCAATCAGTAAACAAGTATAAAGTCATTAAGACTTATAAAGAATAGCATAGATAGCATTCTTTATACGTCTTAGTTTGATTTGTGGGTCACACTATCACGACTGTTGGCTTTATACTTTGGCCATTATATACCATATCATATCATATCATATCATATCATATCATATAATGTGGGCCTGTAATGTAGGGGGAAATTTGGGGAGATCCCTGTTTCTTCTTCCTCAAACAGAAATGCTGCTGCAATGGGGGGAAAATTGATACATATCAGTGCGTGTATGTGCATTTCATCAGTCTGTACGGTTCCCAGCTCTGGGTTGGGAAATACCTGGAGATTTTGGGGGTGGAGCCTGAAAAGGGTGGGGTTTAGGGAGGGGAGGGGCTTCAATAGGATAGAATGCCACTGAGTCCACCTTCCAAAGCGGCCATTTTCTCCAGGTGAACTGATCTCTGTCACCTGGACATCAGCTGCAATAGCAGGAGCTCTCCAGCTACCACCTGGAGTTTCACCCCACCAAAGTTCACTGTGAAAAAAATTGATTCTATGAAAGTTGCAGTCCACAAACTTGCTTCTTCCTTTGTTCCTTTATTTTATGTCATGCAGTGCTGCTACTGCTTCCAAACAACTTCCAAACAACCATGCAGTGCTGCTGCTGCTTCTGCCCTCTTTGTGTACCTTTGGCAAAGAATACATTACTGGGACCCTAGGATATTTATTGCATAGAAATTTAGCTGTATAGTAAGGAACGAGAGCCAGCAGATGCCGAAGGGAAACACAAGATTAATTCAGAGTAGGAGGCGAAGAGCATGGGGGTAAGCATGGCCTTGACTGCTCACACCTGAAAAAGAATGAATGAATAGGGTTGCCAAATCTTATTTACTCACTGGCAGGGGAGCCTTTGCTCGGTCCGGGAGCTGGCCGCGGATGTGCGCGCGAGAACGTCACCGGAAGTGATGCAGGATGTAGGGCACGTTGGGGGCGTGGCCCAAATCGTCGGGGGGGGAAACCATATGGTTTCCGCCCCAACGATCTGGGCCACGCCCCCAACGTGAGCGATGTAGCATATCACTTCCTGTGATGTGCTGGTGGCGTGCGCGTGCTATGAATGAATATGAGTTGTAACTATATTATAATTTATTTGTAAAACAGCTCCATGCATAAAAAAGCGACCTGACGAAGCATTAGGGGAAACAGAATACTTACCTAGGAAATCCGTCGTTGTTTGGTGTTTGGAAGCTGTTTGGAAGCAGCAGCAGCATTGCATAACGTAAAATAAAGGAACAAAAGAAGCAAGTTTGTGGACTGTAACTGTAATCGAATCAATTTTTTTCACAGTGAGCTTTTGTGGGGTGTACCTCTGGTTAATCACTGTGGCCCATTTGTGGCTTGAACCACCTGGAGGTTGGCAACCCTATCCGTCTCAAATACTGAGGCACTACTGGAAACTCAGGGCAACCTTGAAAAAGAGTCTTAATTATTCACAATCAGTAATAAACAGACCAGAATGCCAAGGCCAGTATTTGAGTCTTCAGTCTTAGCAGTAGTTATCGTGTCTGGTTCTCAAATCTCACGATTGCCCGGGCTGCATTTGTATAGCGCTAAAGGGCTCCTGCAATGGAACTGCCTGGGTGCAATCGCTTATTCCCAATTTTTAAAAAGCATAACTGTCCTACAAATAAAACGTTAATTGCAAAAGAGTTCTCAAAGTTGAGACTCAGATATCGACTAGGGGTGTGCATTCGGTGAAGCCGAACCGACAAAAAACCCGGGAAAAACTTTTCCGGCATTTTTCAGGTACTCGGCATACCGAATCAGATCCCCTGTGCTTTATTATACCCGAATCCGGGGAAAAAATGATTTTTCCCCCTGCACACCCCTAATATCAACTTTTGAAAATATCAGTTTACGGTATTTTTTATATGTAGTTTTTTCTCTTTTTGCAGTTTGTTTGGATTAATTTTTTTAAAAAAATATGTTTATTCCCGACAGGAGGGAAATTTTTCCAGAGTTCCACACACTGACTACAAACCCCCAGATGTGAAGACTGTTGGACAATCAGTGTTTGCAGATTTTGGTAAGGTTCTGTTCTCTCAATTCAAAACATTTGACACATGTGGATATGGCCAAATCTGTTCCATCTGCTAAGAGTATTAAAGCCTTTCATGGCCTAATGGAGCCCCTTTCCCCGTATGATATCATGTGCCAACTAAGGCCAACAGGCACCTCACTTCTGTTGCCTCACTCTATTCCGGAGGGCTGTTCAGCTATAGCCTGTGTGTGCTCATCTTCATTGGCTGGGCTTTGGAACAGCCTCCCAGATACAGTCCGGAAGGCTCCTACACTCTCCTCCCTTCATAAAAGGTGCAAAGTGGGATTATTTTGACTCACCTTTAGCAGAAACAACTACGATCCCATGAAAAGGTAAAGGTAAAGTGTTTCCCTTGCTCAAAAGCCAGTCAAATCCGACTAGGGGGCGGTGCTTGTCTCCGTTTCCAAGTTGAAGAGCCAGCACTGTCCAAAGTTATTTCCATGGTCATGTGGCTGGCATGACTAAGCACCAAGGCGCAGAGGCAGGCAGTGGCGAAACACCTCTGAACATCTCTTGCCTTGAAAGCTCCACGGGGTCGCCATAAGTCGTCTGTGACCTGACGGCACACAAAAAAAGCGATAGCAGGTCAGTGGGGCATCAGGGCTTAGAGGCCAAATGCCCCTTCCTGTTAGATGCTAGACAGCAGTCAGTAGGTGAGGACTGTTTTCTGTTGGCCCTTTAGAAGGGCTTCCTTCTTTCTCTTGACTGGCCACAACTGGACCAGTGGGGGACTAGTGGGGCGTTGGTCTGATCCAGCATGGCTATTCCGACATTGCTGTACTTCTGTTTTGTAAAACCTCCTTCTATAATCTCCGATCGTTCATTTATAAAAATTTTAACAGATAAAGTGCCCATAAAGCCTGATGTACCCGAGAAACATTTAAATTAATTAAAGTAGCTTATAAAAAGATGGATGAAACGTCTCAGCATCCTTAGCGGTTATAATTGCCAGTTGTTTCGCTAAGCTTCTGAATAAAGAGAACTCTTAATTATATGCAAATCTAGCCTAAAGCAGTTTTTTTTTTGGCCAGCTCAGTGTTAAAAAATAACAACACTACATGAAGTATCATTTCAAGCCAAAAAGGCCACTACTAATTTTGGAACTTTTAGGATGTTTATTTTTACCCAGTGGTTTTTATATTGTTACCCACCTTGTCCAGTATATTTTATTCTGGTTTAGAGATTGACTTTCTATGTCGCATGTGTGAAGAAACTGAATTCCTCATGCCCAAATGGCTATACTTAGTCACATTTCCCTAGCTCTTACAGCTGCTAAGTTGTTTCTACTTTCACAGAGGATAGGTCTGTCAGTGGCTACTAGCCATGGTGCAGAGGCAGTAAACCTCTTGATCCCAGTACCAGGAGGCAACATCAGGGGAAGGCCTCGGCCTCTCTGGCCTGGTGCTGGACCTCCAGAAGAACTGATCGGCAACTGTATAAGATGAGATGCTGGACTAGATGGACCCCTGGTCTGATCCAGCAGGGCTCTTCCTGTGTTCTTGTTCCACTGGATGCTGTGGGTGACATCTTCCAAATACATTCCCCTTGGGTGACAATGTGGCATTGTTCAGATCTGGAATCAGCATGGTCAAAGTACACAAAAACCTCTGAGTATTCATCTGTACTGCAAATTGCATGCTAATCCTACCATTTGCCTGACTATAATTAAATACTATCTCCCATGGGTAACATAATGGTCTGTTATAAACATAGTTAAAATGGCTTCAATGTCCACAGACACCAGCCAAAGTAAAAAGTACATATTGATTAGACTGGGGGGGGGGGAAATATATTGCTTTTTTACAGTGAGGTTAAATTAAAATGTTCATTATAATTTAAGCGCAACACAAACATTTGCATGAAGTGTATTATTTCAAGTCCCACGAGGTTTTTCCCTTGGGAAGACATGCATAATGCTCAAAACTGTCTTTTGTCCGTGCCTCTTTATTTTTTACATTATCCTGGTGTAGAAAGTTGTTAATGATTCCCCAAAAGCAGATGGTATTGAAAAGTGCCATGAATACTAATAAGCCTAAAGTATATGTCAAATGCATTTATTTTGAAAGATGTAAGGGAGAAAAGTAATCTGGAGTTGAATTTCATCTTGCCAAATGTGACAGCTAACAGCAGTGGATAATATCACCAAAGGGTGCACTGTAATTTTAGAAATCTGCCATGTTTCAGGGAACCATGGCTTAACTTAGAATTCGGGAAATGTAGAAGGGGGGAATACAATGGTACATGAGTTCAGTCCCAACAACTTCAGCTAACGGAAGGAAAGATTTTTCGTTGTTGTTGTTGTTGTTGAATTCCCTCTCCCATATTTCTTTGGGATAAATTCTCACAGCGATCCTAAGCAGGTCTACTCAGAATCTGTTTGCAGTCTACTCAGTGGGGCTTACTCTAGGGAAGTGTTCATAGGATTGCATTGTAAGTGCCCAGTTCACATATTCCATCTCTGTGCTGTAAATGCTAAACTATAGCTATTTTTCTATCTACAAAGACAGCATGTGAGACTTACCTATTGTGTCAAATCACAAGTCCTTCTAGCTGAGTCCTGTATAATCTCACTGGTAGCAGCTATCAGAAGTTTTAGATGAAAGAAAGAACCGTTTGTACTACCTGAGAGCAGTACAGCTAGATGTGCTAGGGAACCACTGTTTGAGATTTTCTGTATGCAAAAGCCTGTGTTCTATGCCTGAGCCGCAGTGCCTCCCCAGCAGAGTTTTGAACGGAACTTTGTAGAAGTAGCCAAGATCACGTATTGTTTCAGCCATCTTCCACAGCCTGAGTTTTCCTGTTTGTGTTTTGCAAACAGAAACACAGTTGTAAATGTGCGCTATCCGAAAGCCTGTGGTTCTAATGTACAGCAATGCCATTCTTCTTTAGAAATAAATGCTATTGAGCTCTGTCAGAAGGCTCTTACGTATTTTCCTCCTTTAGTGGAACAGCGCAAAATAATTTGTGTATACAAAAACCAGATCAGAGGTACTGTTGGCTGTAGTTCTTGTCTCATTATAAGCACAGAAATAGCAGGTTACAGGAAGAAAAGACAGATCACACATTGGCAGTAAAAGTTTTGCAGTGACTGTTTTGACATTTTGGTTTGTTTACAGAATTTTGCTTTTTTTGCAATCTAGGTTTGTTGCATAGTTACCTAATGTTGCCTAGTGTGAATTGCTTTCAGGAAGCGGCATCATGGAATGAAAGCGACTGAAGCATTTTGACTGGTGTGGTGACTATGGGAGTGAACTCAGTTATCAAACAGTCTCCTGTGTAGATCTCGCTTCTGCCACAAACTTAATGTCTCACCTTAGACAAGAGCTTTCTGAGCCTTGGCATCCCTCCGTCTTCACTATGGGGGTAACACTCTCCATACAGAATGGTTGTAATGGTCACAACAAGATAATGAGTTGAATCCAGCAGAAGATTTCCACAAGTAGATTTTTGCTGATTCCCCGCCCCTCCCCACTGCAGACTGACCCCTCACGCTGTTCTTTGGGGGTTCCCTATCTTCAGGAGCAGAATTTTGGAGAACCCTTTATACTGCAGCAAGATAGAGGAATGTAAGAAACTCCCATTCTTCCAATAGGAATCCCTTCCCCCAAATCCAGCCCAGTGAGTGGACTCAAAAGATGCCTTTCAGTTTGTGCCATTTTTGTATTCAGCCTCGAGTTATCTGGAATCCAGTCCATGCTACGTGAAGCATGTGAATCTCTAAAGCCCTACGATACACATGCTTGGTCATAACCTGCCACTGATTAAGGCTACCCACGTGAGAGCCTTGTAATTCTTCTGGTGTTTCCAATAGAGATGAACAGCCTGTTCAACACAGTAGGATCTGACTTCACAGTAATGATAGCCCCGCACAGGATGCAGAGTAGCAACGGCAGAGGGAGTAATTATTTTTTGCTATAGCAACCGGTGCATTGCGATTAACCATCATGACATTGGGAGAACAGAGAAAACATAACGAACGGTTGTGCTTGTTTGGTTGACAGTGCGCTCCCCACAACAACAGCATTCTCTCAGGCACTGATTTTTCCCATCATAGTTGTTTGGATGTCATTTACATTGCTACATAGATGTCTCACTTTGTGGCTCCAGTCTCTGATACTTAGCCAGCCAGCCACAAGTACTCGGATACTTAGATCCCAGCAGCATACAATGTTCCAAGTCTGTAGTAGCCTTTCAGGCTGGGCAGATACTCAGATAGATGGTACTTGCAAAAGTGGGTGTGGGCTAGAGTGTTGAATTCGGATTTGGGAGGGCCAGGTTTGAATCCCTGCCAGTTTGGTATAGTGGTGAAAAGCGTGGACTCTAATCTGGGGAAAGCGGGTTTGATTCCCCACTCTTCCACATGCAGCTGCTGGTGTGACCTTGGGTCAGTCATAAGATCTTTCAGAGCTGTTCTGTCAAGGGCAGTTCTTTAGAGAGCTCTCTCAGCCCCACCTACTACACAGGGAGTCTGTTGTGGGGAGGGGAAGGGAAAGGGATTGTAAGCCGCTCTGAGACTCCTTCGGGTAGTGAAAGGCAGAGTATAAATCCAATCTCTTCTTCTTCTTCTCTGCCATGGAAGCTCGCTGGGTGACCTTGGGCCGGTCACTCTCTCAGAGCTTAACCTACTTCATACAATTGTTCCGCAGATAAAATGGGGAAGGGGAAAATGATGCCGTAAGCCCAGTAGGAGTATAAACACATAAGCGAAATACACACATGTCCTTCATCCTCCTGCCTCAAGAGAGAACTTGGTGGCTGGCGTCTTGTTCTGTGTCGAAGTATTTCACACCACGTACTTCAATGGTGTTCCTCAACAGTTGCGAACTATTTCGTGTGAACGTGTGGTTCCGGGTGACAGGCTACTTCTGTGCTATATCTGTTCCCGAAGATATCAGGAGAATAAGTCTTTGATGAAACAGTTTCAAAGTGTTATGTTCCCGAGGTGCCCCACTGGATTTATAGCATCCTGGCTTGATTGAGAGGAA